ATGTGCACATGGGGTCATGAGCACGCACGTACTGCAAATGGGACAGGGCTAGTGCCTGTGTGATATTCACTAGCCCTGCCCCGTTTTTGTGCCTTGCAGCATGGTGGTCCATTTTTGCGCCCCCCGGGTTTTGCATGCCAGAGGCGGAACTCAGAGGCGCCTCCCTGCCCCTTCCCAAGGGCACCACAATGCTGATGCAGCCCTAGTACTTTGCAATAAATAAGTGGGTTTTGGATTGCGGTTTGGGCACTTGGTCTCTAAAAGGTTCGCCATCACTGGTCTAGAACAACCAAGCTCAGTGAGCATTAAGGATCCCACAAAAATATTAGGGTTTGAACCTCTTCATTTGTGCCTCAAGTGAGAAGTTTGGTTCGGTTTGTTCAATAATTCATTTTCTGGTTACCCATAATATAGTATTCTCTCGTCTTTTCCAACACTCAAGTTTCTTTTCTTTCTTTTCCCTTTTTATTTTCTGGGATTTTTTTCTTCTCCTTTGCACCTTTCTGTCTATTCTTCTTTTTTTGGCTTGTATTAGATTTTTAATATTAATAATATTAATATTATTTAATAAAGATTTTTAAAATCCTTCATGAAATTACACATGTACACACACACACATACTACACAAGGATCTCATAATGAGCACACTGAAACATGACACAGTTATAATACAGAAGTTTCTTTTGGTGAAAAATTGTTCACTGCAAGCTGAATTCCTGGAAACTCTACTTTTTTCCTATATCCCATGAGAACTGCAAAATGAAGGATCCTTTGTGCTGAGTTTGGTTATTTTCTTGCAGACAGTTTGTTACCCATCATCAATTTCAACACTGAACTACAAATATTCTCCTCTATCAAACTGCAAAATCTGTGAATTATGCGTATTTTTAATATTCCATCACCTCAAATGAATCAGAACTATTGACAAGATATATCTAAAAAAAGAAACTATTTCTTGCTGTATATTAGCCACTCCCCCTTTATGGATTACTGCCTTGTCGTGGCGAAGGGGCTTGCGTAACTCAATGAAGCTATAAGCTATGCCGTGCAGGGCCACCCAAGATGGACAGGTCATAGCAGAGAGTTCTGACAAAATGTGGTCCACTGGAGAAGGAAATGGAGAACCACTCCAGTATCTTTGCCATGAAAACCCCATGGACAGTACTAAAAGGCAAAAAGATACGATGCTGGAAGATGAGTCCAATATGCTACTGGGGAAGAGCAGAGGGCTAGTACTAGTAGCACCAGAAAGAATGAAGCGACTGGGCCAAAGCCAAAAGGACGCTCAGCTGTGGATATATCTGGTGGTGAAAGGAAAGTCCGATGCTGTAAAGATTTTTTCTCCATAGGAACCTGGAATGTAAGATCCATGAATCAAGGCAAGCTAGACGTAGTCAAAAAAGAGATGACAAGACTGAACATCGACATCTTAGGAATCAGCGAACTAAAATGGACAGGAATGGGTGAATTTAACTCAGATGACCATCAGGTATACTACTGTGGGCAAGAATCCCTCAGAAGAAATGGAGTAGCCTTCATAGTCAATAAAAGAATAGGAAAAGCAATACTGGGATACAATCCCCAAAATGACAGAATGATCTCAATTCGAATCCAAGGCAAACCATTCAATATCACAGTAGTCCAAATCTATGCCCCAACCACTGGTGCTGAAGAGGATGAAATTGACCGGTTCTATGAAGCCCTACAGCACCTTATAGAATTAACACCAAAAAATGATGTCCTTATCATCATGGGGGATTGGAATGCTAAGGTAGGAAGCCAAAAGATAACCGGAATAACAGGCAAGTTTGGCCTTGGAGTACAAAATGAAGCAGGGCACAGGCTAATAGAATTTTGTCAAGAGAATACGATGGTCATAACAAACACTCTTTTCCAACAACCCAAGAGACGGCTCTACACATGGACATCACCAGACGGTCAACATAGAAATCAGATTGACTATGTGCTCTGCAGCCAAAGATGGAGAAGCTCTATATAGTCAGTAAAAACAAGACCAGGAGCTGACTGTGGCTCAGATCATGAGCTTCTCGTTGCAAAATTTAGGCTTAAATTGAAAAAAGTAGGGAAAAGCACTAGGCCACTCAGGTATGAACTAAATCATATCCCTGATGAATATACAGTAGAGGTGACAAATAGATTTATGGAATTAGATCTGATAGACAGAGTGCCTGAAGAACTATGGATGGAAGTTCGCAACATTGTACAAGAGGTAGCAACTAAAACCATCCCAAAGAAAAAGAAATGCAAGAAAGCAAAATGGCTGTCTGAGGAAGCTTTGCAAATAGCTGAGGAAAGAAGGGAAGCGAAAGGCAAAGGAGAAAGAGAAAGATACACCCAATTGAATGCAGAATTCCAGAGAATAGCTAGAAGAGATAAGAATGCCTTCTTAAATGAACAGTGCAAAGAAATAGAAGAAAACAACAGAATAGGGAAGACCAGAGATCTCTTCAAGAAAATTGGAGATATGAAGGGAACGTTTCATGCAAAGATGGGCATGATAAAGGACCAAAATGGCAGGGACCTAACAGAGGCAGAAGAGATTAAGAAGAGATGGCAAAACTACACAGAAGAACTATACAAGAATGAGCTTAACGTCCCAGATAACCACAATGAGATGGTCACTGACCTCGAACCAGACATCCTAGAACAGTGGTTCTCAACCTGTGGGTCGGGACCCCATTTGGGGTCGAACGACCATTTCACGGGGGTCGCCAAACAACGCAGTCCGCCATTTTTTTCCCCTTTTCCTTAGCTGTGCTACTCCCTTTTATTCTATTGGCTTTTGAAAGCCAATAGAATAGACTCTCTTGAATAGAGTCTAATTCTATTGGCTTTCAAAAGCCAATAGGAATTGTCCAGGCTGTCTCTGCCCTGCTGAGCCCACCAAAAGTCCCATTCTGCAAACGGTGCTGCACCAGTTGAGTAGTCCTCGACTTACGACCGGTTGAGTAGTCCTCGACTTATGACCGGTTGGGGGTCGTGGCATTAAAAAGGTTGAGAACCACTGTCCTAGAATGTGAAGTGAAATGGGCCTAAGAAAATCTGAGCAACAACAAAGCTAGTGGAGGTGACAGTATTCCAGCTGAGCTATTCAAAATCTTAAAAGACAATGCAGTAAAAGTGCTACACTCAATTTGCAAGCAAATTTGGAAAACTCAACAGTGGCCACAGGATTGGAAATGATCAGTTTACATTCCAATTCCAAAGAAAGGCAATGCCAAAGAATGTTCAAACTATCGCACCATTGCACTCATTTCACATGCTAGTAAAGTTATGCTTAAAATCCTACAAGCTAGACTCCAGCAGTATGTGGATCGAGAACTACCAGAAGTACAGGCAGGATTTCGAAGAGGCAGAGGAACTAGAGATCAAATTGCCAACATACGCTGGATCATGGAGAAAGCTAGGGAGTTCCAGAAAAACATTTACTTCTGCTTCATTGACTATGCAAAAGCCTTTGATTGTGTGGATCACAACAAATTGTGGCAAGTTCTTAAAGAGATGGGAGTACCAGACCATCTCATTTGTCTCTTGAGAAACCTATATGCGGGCCAAGAAGCAACAGTGAGAACTGGAACCACTGATTGGTTCAAAATTGGAAAAGGAGTCCGGCAAGGCTGTATATTGTCGCCCTGCCTATTTAATTTATATGCAGAGCACATCATGAGAAAGGCAGGGCTAGATGAATCAAAAGTTGGAATTAAGATTGCCGGGAGAAATATCAACAACCTAAGATATGCAGACGATACCACTCTAATGGCAGAAAGTGAAGAGGAACTAAAGAGCCTCTTGATGCAGATGAAGAAGGAGAGTGCAAAACTTGGCTTGAAACTCAACATTAAGAAAACCAAAATCATGGCATCTGGCCCTCTCAATTCCTGGCAAATAGATGGGGAAGAAATGGTGGTAGTGACAGATTTTATTTTTCTGGGCTCCAAGATCACCTCAGATGGGGACTGCAGCCAAGAAATTAAAAGACGCTTGCTCCTGGGGAGGAAAGCTATGGCAAATCTAGACAGCATTCTAAAAAGCAGAGACATCACCCTGCCAACAAAAGTGCGTATAGTCCAGGCCATGGTTTTCCCAGTTGCAATGTATGGCTGTGAAAGTTGGACCATAAGAAAGGCTGAGCGCCAAAGAATTGAGGCCTTTGAACTATGGTGCTGGAGAAGACTCCTGCGAGTCCCTTGGACTGCAAGGCGTTCAAACCGGTCAGTCCTAGAGGAGATCAACCCTGACTGCTCTTTAGAAGGCCAGATCCTGAAGTTGAAACTCAAATACTTTGGCCACCTGATGAGAAGGAAGAACTCACTGGAGAAGGGCCTAATGCTGGGAAAGATTGAGGGCAATAGAAGAAGGGGACGACAGAGAATGAGATGGCCGGATGGAGTCACTGAAGCAGTAGGTGTGAACTTAAATGGACTCCAGAAGATGGTAGAGGACAGGAAGACCTGGAGGAACATTGTCCATGGGGTCGCGATGGGTCAGACACGACTTCGCAATTAACAGCAACAACAAAATTAGCCACTCAGACTTTAATCGCTAATGAAAGATGATGAACAAATATAAGCATAAGCCAAACACTTCTAAAAAATAATGATCACATCGTTAATGCAATTTTTTATTCTGCAAATAAATGTGCCACTGCTGAAGAAAGTATTCAAACTAGCATGCTTGCAATGACGTCTCAACCATTAAGCAAAATTCCACACAGCATAGACCATGCATATTCCATAGGCAGAACCAACATATACAACATATATTTCCCCAATCTTTCTACAAATGTGACTAGAAAGGTTTTAAAATCCTGCTTTTGAACAAGACAAGTGGTTAAAAAGAGTCATTCTTTGCCATCACACTAAACACACTTTGTTTGTACTTTGTGTGTTCTGGGAAAGTAGAATTTAACAATATTTTCCATTTTAGAAATAGGCTTTTAGGGTTAGGAATTAAATTTTAAATTAAATTAAATTATAAATTAAATTAAAAAGGGTGCAAATTCTTTTCCTGGTACATTATATATCACTTGAATAATCTTTGCTTGAAAGGGAAAAACAAATAATTATCACAGAATTATATGGGAAAATATAGAAATCAAGTCTGCATTTAGATCCTATTTTTTTCTTTGGGTTGACCCCCCTTCTTTAATGGAGGACATTTACAATTCCTGAGGATTGTAAAATCTGTGGTATAGGTAGTCCTCAACTTACAACCACAACTGAGACAAGAATTTCCATTGCCAAGCAAAGCAGTTGTTTTGGGAGTTGTGCCCACCTGTATGATCTTTTCTGCCATAGTCATTAAGTGATTGTTAAGCAAATCTGCTTCCCTCATTGACTTTGCTTGCAGAAGCTGGCTGGGAAAGTTGCAGATGGCAATCATGTGGCCATGGGATGCTGCAACCATCATCCCAACCATACATGCTGGTTGACAAGTGCCTGAATCTTAATGTGACTCTGAGGATGCTGTAATGCTCATAACTGCAAGGACTGTTTGTAAGTTGGTTTTTTTTTTTTTTTCAGTGCTGCTGTAACTTCAAATGGCACTACATGACTGGATGTAAGTCGGGGACTCTCTCTCTCCTCCGGTCCACATATTAAGATAAATGCATCAATATGTACATACAAGAACTTAATAATAGAAGGAGACTTTCCATCCTCCATGTCTTTTGACTAATGACTATGAAACAAATGAGAAAGCCCTATATATGCCATCCAATGAACACCTGAGCAAATGTTTCATTATTAAATTGGATCTGTATTGCCCAAAGCTATGTCTCAGTAGCAGAACTGAAAAGAGAACAACAACAAAAAATAGATTGTTTTCAATACATTTTGCAATATAATTAAGCCTGCACTTATTTGTTATTTTGCAAACATTTGAGTCATTTCTGTTTCAAGGCCAAAGATAGAAAATATTATAAAGCACTGAAGATTTTAAGATGTCTGGCTCAATTTTTGGATTATGATATTTTAAGGGTTAGACTAGCTTCCACATCCTGCTGTTCTCCCCATACTTTGTAACTTTTGGCTTAGAATTGAAGGCTAATACCTCTAGATCAGTGATTGTCAATCTTGACAATTTTCAGATGTCTGGATTCCAGGCATCTTAAAATTGCCAAGGATGAGAAACACTGATATAGAGAATATCTCAGATAAAACATTTCATGTAAAATGTAAACATTGTGGAATGATAAATTAGCTTTTGGAAATCAACAGTTGCAAAAAGCTTTCTTTCAGGTACCAAATAAAGATGTGTGCTCAATTATAGATGTGTGCTCAATTATACAATATGAAGACCAGTATCCTCTCCAAATTTTCACCCTGCTATTAGCATACAGATCTTCTGGATTCAAAATGGAGATTTGGTATGCAACAAGGCAAACTATTCCATGATTATATATGGATAGTACAATAAATAGAGAGCTCCCCCCCATTTATAACGCTACAAGGTGAGAACACACAGAACAGGATTTTCAGTGGTAGTTTAGTGTTGTATTTTCAGTGAGGGTTGCAACTAGGACCTTTTCTTCATACAAAGATCATGATGACAGGACAGTAATATCATAAAAGGTGAGATTATGATTGCAGCAGTCACACATACCATGATACAAAAGTGAACACCAATATTTTCTTTTTTTACCCTATTATTTTCCATCTTTAAAGCAATGAATTTAAGCAGTTTCTCATCCAATAATGAGGAGGAAATGTACCGCTTAAATTCTATAGCATTTGATAAATACTAACAACAGAAATAGTGACCCTGGTGTCACTCAGAATCTCTACAAGTTTCTGAGAGTAATTGTTTTACCCCATTCCAAAAGCTCATTTAATATGAAAGTACACTCTTTAAAAGCTCTTCTTTCAACTAAAGAATTCCACTTAATTATAATGTAAGTGTAATGATGACACTTTTAATTTTGTGATCCGTGAGATTTTTTTTTTTAACTACTGTATTGGTTCCTGGCGTTCTATACCCATTCAGATTTTTTGGATTTTGAGCACGGAGAACTATCACAGACAGACGGAATATCAGAGGTCTTTCTCTTCAGAGTAGAATAATGATCTGAGGGCTTGTCATAACTTGCAAATGAATGAGACCTATGATGGCATACCTCTTGGGATTTAAAAGCCAAGGGTTCTTTGGCAAAGTAGGACTGGTGCTCACTTCTTGATTGCTCAGATGGGCTCTCCTGTGGTTTAGCTTCATTGAAAAGCAGATCTTGATTGGCAGATTCAATATATAACTTATTATGATTGCAGTTGAGATGACAGCCAATTGTCTGCTGAAGGGTCATGGTAGCTGGAAAAGGACAGTCCTCTGTAGCCTCACAAGCAAGCAAGCATTTTCCACCATCATCAGGGATGGCCATGCTTCCATGATGAATAGTGCCTGCAATATTGTCATCTTGCTGCTGGTCAAGACTACCTTCCTCTTCTGAGTTGAACTTTTGCAACAGAAGCTTATTTCTATGATTTCTTACACCATTGGTTCGCAAAGCAAAGATTAGATCAACAAGACTAAGAAGAAAAGAGAAGCCACCAAGTCCCCAAATAAAAAGCATCATGATGGATTTTTCAGTTGGCCTTGAGATGTAGCAATCAACAAAACTTGTGCAAGGAAAGCGGTCACATGAAAAATGCTTCGGAACAAAAAATCCAAAGAGATAGTAATGACCAGTTCCAAAGCCAGACTCTATCAATATTCTCAGAATAAGATGAATCATGTAAGCCCTGGAAAAATCCAGGACAGCCGTTTCATTTCTCCTGCCAATTTTATTCTTTCTTGCTGTACTTTTGAAGTCCTTTGTAATTTTGCAACCAGTTAAGGTCTTCCTTTCTTTGAACGGAGAATAAGGGGAGGAAGAGGCCTTTACAACATGCCTGACCATACTGTGCAATACACAGATACCAAAAACAACATAAGGAAGGAGGACAAACAAAGTCTGAATCAGCCAGAAACGAAAGTGTGATATTGGAGCAAAGAGATCATAACACACATTGGAGCATCCTGGTTGCAATGTGTTGCAGATAAAGCGTTCTTGCTCATCTTGATAGAGAGGATAGGCTGCTAAGAATATCACCATAAATCTCAAGAAGATCACAGTTGCTAACCAAATCTTTCCTACAAAGGAAGAATAAAAATGGGAGGGATTGTTAATAATAGGGCAGCAGATTTCTTATAAGAGTTTGGTATGAAAATATCAAATATGTGTGAACATCTCCAAGAGAAAGTTTGAGTCAGCTCTAAAATTGATATTATCAAGCCCATGCTATTTCAATCATTATTCTGCACCATTCCTGTTAGGTTAACCCAAGTTTAACACAAGCTATCATGCATGACTTATTAAGACCCTGCCCTTCAGACAACTTCATTGTAACAAGTAATGGTTGAAGTTAACTGACCAATCCTTTAAACAGCTAAACACAAGTATATATCTTATAAATAATGTAGTCTTATGTACTCACCTATAATCGTCACATTGTAGCTTAGAGCAATGAGGAGAAAACTGAATGCATCTGAATTCTCCATGCTGAAATGTGATTGCCCAGTTATTGAATCTGTAACAAAAATCTCTGTATTCTCACAACCTACAGAAATCTAAACAGAGAGAACAAATGAGAAACACTGAAAAGATGGCCAGAGAGTGGAATGAAACAGAGCTACACAACTTTGCAGAGCGGAGCCAACCTTCTTTTAGAAATCATAGCTAAGGACATTTGTTGCTCTCACCTCTGCCCTAACAACTGCACAAAGACAAAAGGCAACAGGGATTATCCTGGCTATTGTCAGCTTTCCTTACCCTCTTGAGGGCATTCCAGGTTCCTAAAATTACTGGGATAGTTCAGCGGTGAAAGATAAATTGAGAGGAGAAGAAATAATAGAACAAGCCTTCTTTGCCTGGGTGAGAGAAATGAGTATCACAAGGAAAGAAGATTTAGCAACACCAGCTGCCAGAGGTCCTGATGATATTGTCTCTGTATCGGTCAAAGTCTTTGAAATGGATATGAAAGACAATTCCCCAAAGCCATTTGGATTAAGCGGTGAGACGCAGAACTCATGGATGTTGCCGCATGTTTCCTTTTCCATAATGGCTTCTTTTCTTCCCCAAAAAAGGTTCTAACCTTGATGATACCTAACCTGCCCAGTATTAGCAATGCGCAAAAACATTATGGATTTGAAACATTTTGAGCCTGAAACACTCTGCACCAAATTTGAGCCTGAAATACTCTGCTCCAGTTGTTCTAACTATCCTGGAAGTATTTCAAGCTCAAATTCTCAGTACAGACTTTATGATGCTTGAAACACAGGACATCTCCAGAATGATCAGAATGGGTGATCTGAATTTAAATCAAAATATTTTGAAATTTTTTAAAAAAACTGGATCACCTGACCCAACACTTCAAATGTTGGTTAACCCAAACTTTAAGAACAAAGAGAGGGTTTTAATTTGTCTAGGTTCTGAGTTCGGCAGTGCTTGACTTGTGACTTAGCAGCCATTCAGTGTTACAATGGAACCTCTAAAACAGTGATTCTCAACATGTGGGTCGGGACCCCATTTGGGATCGAACGACCATTTCACGGGGGTCGCCAAACAACGCAGTCCGCCATTTTTTCCCTTTTCCTTAGCTGTCCTACTCCCTTTTATTCTATTGGCTTTTGAAAGCCAATAGAATAGACTCTCTTGAATAGAATCTAATTCTATTGGCTTTCAAAAGCCAATAGGAATTGTCCAGGCTGTCTCTGCCTTGCTGAGCCCGCCAAAAGTCCCATTCTGCAAACGGTGCTGCACCAGTTGAGTAGTCCTCGACTTACGACCGGTTGAGTAGTCCTCGACTTACGACCAGTTGGGGGTCGTGGCATTAAAAAGGTTGAGAACCACTGCTCTAAAAGTACTTATTATCCAGTTCCAAACACCAGCATTTGCCATGATCATGTGGATGCATTTCAGATGCTCAGGAACTAGCCCACATTTACAGTATATACGGACACATTATCAGCAGCATCCCATGTTCTTGTAAGTACGACTTATGATCTTTTTGCTGATTTTCCCAAAGGTTTATTTCAAAAGGCAACTGGACTTTGTTTTTCTTTGAAGACATTTCACTTCTCATCCAAGAAATGTCTTCAAAACTGTTTTCAAGGAAAAACAAAGAAAGCCCAGTTGCCTTTTGAAAAAGCACCTTTGGGACAACCATGACTTGGACGACTAAGAATCTCCATAGATTTTTGCTGATTCGTTGATGATGCACGGTTTATACGTATTGAAAGGAAGACGTAAAATAAGAGTGTTTTATACATTTAAAACCTCCATTTGTGCTGTTAAAAAGAGGCAAGTTCAGTGCATATGGTAGGTACTTAACTTTGTGAAGAAACTGTTTGGTGTTTTTTAGCTCTGGAGTCAAGAGATAGAAGGATGGAATTCTAACAGAGCTTGTTTTTGCCAGAAAGTCAAACATTGAAAGATGAAGGTAAACAAATAGGTTGCCCCAAAAAAATCAACTTGCCATAAAATTCTGTTTTTCTCTAAATCAGCGGTTCTCAACCTATGGGTCGCGACCCCATTTGGGGTCGATCGACCATTTCACGGGGGTCGCCAAGCAAGTCTGTCCACCATTTTTTCCCCCTTTTCCGGCGGGTGCCTTACCTCCCTTGGGCTGGGCCAGCTGGTGGCCCAGCCGGTGGTCGGCCTGCTCCATCTCAGTCGCTTGGCCGGCGCAGGGGGCAGCACCATGCATGCGCGGTGCTCCTGGGCAGGGAAAGACCTCGACTTACGACCGGTTGAGTAGTCCTTGACTTACGACCGGTTTAGTCCTCGACTTACAACCGGTTTAGTCCTCGACTTATGACCGGTTGGGGGTCGCGGCATTAAAAAGGTTGAGAACCACTGCTCTAAATGGTCTTTCCTAAAGATGGGAACTGTGCCTGTACAGAAACTCTGCTTTTTTCTCAAAAGAATTCAAACAATGTTCAATACTGCTTTTTAATACTTGTTAAAGACTGAAAGGCAGAGAATACAATATAAGAAGATAAATTTGTTCCAGATATGAGTGTTATATCTTCTTCATTCAGTGGGAGTAAACCTGAATATTTAATACCTAGTAAATTTGTGTTTGGTAATGATCAGCAAGAATGAAAAATGAATTAGCAGTTATCCTTTCCCAGAAAACAGGTGGACCTTTTTTCTAAAAATATACAAGGCAGTAGAATTCTACTTTTTTATAAAGTCTAACAGACCTTTGAAATAAGCTTTGTGTATGTGAGTGTGTGTGTGTGTGTGTGTGTTTGTGTGTGTGTGCATATTGTTTGGGCATTTTCCTTCTGTTTCCTTATTATTTCAGTTATTTTCCTTGTTTCTTATTTTCCTTTTTAATGAGATTATTTTCATTTCCTTAATAAAATTGGTACATTCAGAGTGGCACCAGACTCTTCACAAATACAAGGCCTATTGTATAATTTTCTGGAATGAACATCTGTAATGGTATATAGGAATGACCTTGGGAGCATAGCCCACAATTGCCTAGTGGGTGGAGCAAGAGGCTCAGGGGGACCCTCCCTAAATTATTATCTGGTCATAAAGGTCATAAAGCAGGAGAATCAAACTTTCAGATTTGCAAGATTCTGTTAATGTGGCTTTACAACAAAGCAGAATTGGCTTACTGAGCAGCATTTCATGTTTGGTCTGCCTGCTAAGGCTGACATCATCTCACAAAGAAAGTAGAATTTCTGTACACATTTTGAGCCTCAGCAGGCAACTTTTCCTAAGAATTCGTGACTTTAAAATTCAGAGATTCAACCCTTCTCCCACTCCTCAGCCTTTCCTCTACCCATCTCTATTCCATTTTGATTGTTGAGAAATATCTAAGGTAGAAAAGAAATGGGGAGAATCTGTGCTTCTCTGTGTCTGATTATGTTTTCAGTTATTCACTCAAAAATATTGTAATTTTGTTTGCCATGAAGGAGAAGGACTCAGAGCCAGCTTGATATGAACCTGCATATTTCAACCTATGGAAATTTTATTCTGTTATCTGTTATCCAATGATTTGTGACATCTTACCATAGTTTTATGTGGGGGTTTTTTTGTAGCCATTAAAGTTACTGTTGAGCAATACCTTATGACATGATTTTTTTCCCCCATGAGCTCTTAATAGGCAGAAAGCTCAACACATACAAGAATTGGTTACCCCATTAGTATCTATTCCACAAAGACCATCCCCAGTCTCAGAATTAATGAGTACATAAGAAGCACGTTAGGGCCCCTAGATTGCTCAAGAGTTTTCATGCACATTATCCTGACAAACCAAACTAATTGATATTTTCTATTTTATTCCTATTATTGTTTTCTCTTCTCCAGATGGACCTGCTCTCATTTTAAGGAGGATGGCATGTCAGACCCTCAATGTATTTTCAAGGCCTTTCTATTTCACTTCTTTTTCAGTGCTGCCATTCTGGTGGGAGGGGGAAAGTTTGTGCCAAGAGGGAGGAGTGATAGTTCGGGGAGCCCATAATTTCCTTTGCTTTATTCTATCCTCTTTGAAGTACCTTTCCTGGGGTGTGAAAGGAGGGAGGAATGTGCCTGCAGCCATCTGCCTTATCTTCAGTTGGATGGGGTGGAGCCGTGGAGGAACTGACAGCCTTGAGAACAGCGTCTTATCGCCGGTTTCCCACAACAATTTAACACCTATGAATTGGCTAAATCAAACCAACCGGTTGGACATTGAGGAGAGGTTTGAAAGGGCACTTTTAATGCAATGTTTCGCGTGGGGAAAATTCAGATCCTGCCTTATCTTCCTGTTGTCATTAACTCTCAATAAAAGTTCCTTTTGAGACAATGCCAGTTTCAAGAGTTCTGCTTTCTTGGAAGAACTAATTGATACAGATCCAAAAGATATTTTCCATGGTCATGTGACCAGCAAGACTTTATGCTGAGATACATAAAATACTGTTACCTTCCCAATGAAGTGGTATTTATTTATTTATTTATCTATATGCATTTTCATGTTTTCAAACTGCAAGGTTGGCAGGAGCTAGGACAAGAATTTCTATTTTTAAAGAATTTTTAAAAATAATGTAGCTTGCTATAACATAATATTAATAATAAGAAAACACATTTAAGATATTTCTTTTTTTAATCTGTAGTGCAAGAAACATAACCAAGTTAAATCACAGAATCAGTACTAGTTGAAGAATGTTGAAAATTCTCCTATGCAGAGGTAGAATCCATTGCACAAAGCTAAAACAATATCCAACAGTCTAAACAAGACTGAGCAAGGTTTTATGGAATCCACTTGAAATCTTAAGTATCAGACTGTATGTACATACATACAATAAACAGACTATACAATCTTTAGGGTTGCTTAATAAACTTCACAAAATTAGAATAAATGCATCGAAAACTTTACATAAAGCAAACTTTTCTCTTTCTGTCATCCCTTTCCCTAAATCCACCTGCCTAATTATTATTTTTTGCTGGGAAAAAACTGTTCTGCAAAATCTCAATAATGCAATTCTTTTTAACAATGTAGATCTAGTCCACTTCAATTTAAAAGTGGCAATTCTTTTCTCCCACTGTTTGCTATTTTCCTGAAATTAAGACACTTAAAAAAAAATCCATTAAAAAAAGAGCAAAGAGTCCTTAGCTTCAAGCTTCTTGATTCCAGGCCTTTGAGGTCAGGAACGTGTTCCTTTCTTCCAAAATTAAGTCACATGAATGTGTTCTTTCATGAAAATAAGGGTATTTCATTGTCTATAAGTAAACTACCTGTAATCATGGTTTTAAGGCTTAATGGGATCCAAATCAATATGCTTGTGCTGCAACTGAAATTAATGGGAATACTTCTGGAATATAGAAATAAATGTTTATCCTTAACAAGGCCCTTGTTAAAAGCCTAGTAGATATGAAGTACAAGGGATAATAAAGAGATGTAGGGAAAAAATCCTGGTGAAATATGCTTTCTCTGTTTTGCTGAAGCAATACACCAAAAGCAAAATCAACATCATCAAAACATCCCTGTTTGTTTTTTGCAGAAGGAAACATGACAAGTGAATCCCACAAGTCATGAAACTGAAGCTGATTTTGGCTCGTTGGTTGTCTTTATATTTTTCTTATGATAACATGGCACCTTTCTCATATGTGCAAACTCAATTATTTGTATAGAGCACAAGTACTGCATATATACGGATTTGCTTATCCCATTAAAAGATAGGAAGGATGAGAACCAGTTTTTTAAAAAAAAATTAAAAAAATAATCAACAAAGCAATAAAATTTTTTTCACAGTTTGCATTTTGTTTAATTTCCTATACACTGGAAAACTCATTTTTAAACTGCTTTTATACCAAAATCTAACACTTGTTTTTATTATACACACATACTCATGCCCCTGCATGTGTATGGATGGTGCATGTCTAAGCAGACACATACACATATAGTTCTCTTTTCTTCTATGGATCCCAGAACAAAAACTTTTTTTTAATTTTTTTTCTCTTTTATATAAACAGATTGGTTTCCATTTAAAGTAAACATATAAAAAACTTGAGGCTATTGCTTGCAACATTGAACCAGGAAGTGAAGAAAGTCAACTATTTGGGCCATACAAAAGAAGATTCTAACTCTCCACTCTTTCATTGCATTTTTCTCACTTGATTCTATCCAATCTCTAAATGATTAAAAAAAAAACCTTGCAAAAGAACTATTCTACCTAATGCAATGTCTGCACATTGGCCCAAGCTTTGCTGTCACCTGAATCTTTTCAACAACTTACAGTAAGAAAAAATAAACCTATCTGAGAAAAGGTAGGAAGGCACATGCAACCACATATAATACAAAGCACCAGTACTGACAATGCACCTCATGGCAGCATCATGAAACTGGTTGCTATAAATTAAAAAAAAAGGGAGGGAGGGGAAAAATAAAATTATGATCAATCACCTGATCTTATATACTTTGGGTTCAGCACTATCAATCAGTTTTACCAAAAATACAGTAAAAGCACACAAGAAACAACAATATCTATAAGAATTAAAAGGGGGGGAGCTAATAAAACAGCTTATGAACAAAAGCATATCCAAGTATAAGGGCTAAAGAAACAGACTCTCTAATCAGAGGCTCCTGTTGTGCTACTACAGTATTGCCTTCTCCATGGTTGTTACAGAGGAGAAAGCAACCTCAATCAAAAAGCAAAAAAGTATGCGAAACCAGTAGAAGATATTGAAGAAGATCTCAGAACACGCCCAACTTCTTTCTTATTTGCTTCTTTCAACTTTCTTTTGTGATGTTGGTTTTCATACTGCTGTTAAGGGCCTTTTCTTCTTTCTCCTCCTCCTCCTCTTTAATGATACCTGTATTGGTTTCTGAAGTTTCATCCTCTAAGCACATATTTGTATTTGCCTTCTCCCCATCAAAAAGCAGAGGAGTTGTAATAAACAACAAAATAAAATCTTCTTTCAAAGTTCTTTTTAACGAGTCCCTATAGTTATTCTTGTGTGCTACACAAAAGGGGAGGCACTGTAAAGGCAGATCTAAAAATAAGAAAAATAAAAAAAAATCACCAAAACCAACCCTCCCACCCAAAGTTGGTGTTAGAAATAGTACTTCTAGAGTCTTGTATTACATATTTCACCGTTAGGAGATAACAGCAGGAGACCATCTAACTTCAGCCAGATTGTCTGAACTGACTGATCGTTTCTTTGCAGATTTACTGAATTCCTTATATTTATCTTCACACAAGCGAGATATGGCCTACAAGAGAATGGAAAATGAAGAGGGTCAAACATACACAATTACCTGATTTAGTGAAACCTCCAGATTCAAAGTAGATCCTTTACTATTACAGCCAGTGCTTTTTTTCTTAAAAAAAAAAAAAAAAAGGTGCCGGAACTCACACACATCATACAACCCGCCTTGCCTACCCTACAAGGTTCCATCCAAAAAGGTGCCGGAACTCCGTTCTGGGCATTCTATGAGAAAAAAAGCCCTAATTACAGCACATCCAAGTATGTGTCAAGACTCTGGTGCCTGAACCAAAATATAGTCTAGTAACACAAATGCATGGAATCCAGTAAGATGTAGCTAAGATATTGGAGCAGGGACATCCTCCAATAATGGCAGAGCTTCCATAAGAGTGGTAGGACGCAAATATATCAAACAAATCTATCTTTCCTTTCTCCAGGTCATGAAAATCCCAACTCTCTTCACCCTACTGCCTGAATACATCATGGTTGCTTAAACTTTATAGATGCATTTTTAAACAGTCTGCTTAGTAATCCAAGACATGAATGAATCAATAAACTGTTCCCAATAAATCTACATCCTTTGAGAAATGAGGCTGGAGTAGAGAATAATGGATAATAATTTTTGAAAAGACTCTCAAGGCAGCAAATTAGCACCACTTTGTGGAGGTAACAAACAAAATTATAATTTGATGCATTTGGGAATTGGCGTAAAATAAAAGGAGGGCTTACTGTAATGTTCAAAAGGTAAGATGATCATGAGTCTCACCTCAAGTTTACATGCTCTTTCCCTGCTGAGGGGTTCTAGAGGAAAACTCAGGTTGTTTGCTTCTGCTAAAGAGCGCAAATCAAAATAATACTTAGCATAAACACTTGAGGGAACGTTGATGTTGAACTGCAGCAACTCAAGGAACTGGCGCTCCAATTCATTCCTGAGAAATAAAGAACAGAAAAAAATACAAAATTTTTATTTATTTCAAGTCACAAGAGGCTGAGCCAAGTGAACATCGAACAAATAAAATGTAACAGGTTTTTTTTTATAGCAAACTCCTGGAAAGTTAGTCTTTCTTCACTTCGTGTGTATCTTCCTTATATGTTTAAGTGAAAACAATGTCTTTCATAATCACTAACCATATAATATTATGGAATATTGCCCTCTTTACTAGAGACATACCCTATCCTTTTCTTACATATTGTTGGCTGGAATTGACAAGCTTTTATTTGTTTAGTTATCAGAAATGTTAGACATAAACTAAGTTAGTTAAATTTATTTCATTATGACCTAAACCATAATTCGTTTATCCAAAGGAATCTAGGTTCAGCTAATTTGGTTGAATCTAACATTGTTTATCTCATGTATTTGTATTTACAAGTAGTCTTCAATTTATGACAATTAATTTAATTACCATTCAAAGTTTTGATCACGTGATCAAAATTCATGTGCTTGACAACTGACATGCATTTATGACAGTTGCAACATCCTAGGATCATGTGATCCTCATTCAAAGTCTTTCCAGCCAGCTTCCAGGCAAGCAAGGTCAAAGTGGGAAATTTGATTCGCTAAATGACTACATGATTTATCTAACAACCGCAGTGATTTGCTTAACAGCTATGGCAAAAAAGGTCATAAAATCTGGCTTGACTCACTTAACAACTTCCTTGTTTAGCAACAAAAATTCTGTTCCCAATTATGGTCGTAAGTTGAGGATTACCCATATAAGCCACTATTTAAAGAAATTCCTTCAAAAATAATTCAACATGCTAACACTCCCTTTAAACCAGCAGTTCTCAACCTATGGGTCGCAACCCCATTTGGGGTCGAACGACCATTTTACAGGGGTCGCCAAACAAGGCTGTCCGCCATTTTCCCCCCCTTTTCTTTAGCTGTGCTATTTCCTCTTATTCTATTGGCTTTTGAAAGCCAATAGGAATTCTCCAGGCTGTCTCTGCCCTGCTGAGCTTGCCAAAAGTCCCAGTCTGCAAACGGTGCTGCAAGGCAAACTTTTTGGAAAGCTTCCCTCCCTGCTGAGCAACTACTAAAAGTAAGTAAAAGAGGGCCAGGGGTGGGAGGTAGGAGGCTGGTGAGCGCAGGGAGGGTTGCTGGCGCGCATGGGGCCCGGCGGGTGGCTTACCTCCCTTGGGCTGGGCCAGCCGGTGGTCGGGCTGGGCCGTCGCTGCCACTTGCCAGCTACACCTCAGCTGGCGCAGGGGGCAGTACCATGCATGCGCGGTGCTCCCAGGCGACGGCCCGCATGCAACCGCAGGAGAGGAGGCGGAACATGCGCGTCTCCTCTTGCCCCGCCCGCAGGGAAATACAGGTAGTCCTCGACTTACGACCACATGGTTGAGGTCGCGGCATTGGGAAGGTTGAGAACCACTGCTTTAAACACAATGATTAATTCAATTTATAGCTCGTTGTAATGAAAAGATTTGGACTTCAGAATCTATACAATGAGATCCATATCAAGACTTTTACAAAAACTGTGATAGGAATTTATTTTACCCATGCAGCACTAGAATGGCTATATTCTTATTATCCTTATCATTTTTTCTACTATCTTCTCCTATTAGTATTTTATGCTTATATTACCTTGTTGTTTGTATGTACATATTTGTATGTTTGTATGTACACTGATTTTATTACCTTGTTGTTTTTATGTACACTGAGAGCTTATACACCAGACACAAATTGCTTGTGTCCAATCACACTTGGCCAATGAAATATTGCATTCCATTCCACTGATGAAAATGGGATTTCTCTGAAAGTTTGAATCTGTTGTTCCCCAACTTTCTTTGTTCCCAGACTGAACTACCTTTCATTAATCATACTGCTCTGTATGTCTAGAGGCTGTTTTATTTCTAATGTTGTAAGCCCCTCGAGTCATTTCAAAATGACATGGGCAGCAAATAGATTTAATAAATAAATTTCTCAGCCTCTTTAGAAACTTTCCCATTGCATCAGTTATCAAACAAATGAGCAAACATGGGGTTGAACAATAAACTCACATGTCTTCAACTGTGATATCTTTCAGGATCTGACAGTAGTCCACATTCCACACAGCTTGGTCATCCCAAACTTTGGATGCAAGTAGGATTGCACCAAGCACAATTCTTTTCCAGTTTGATGGACAAATATCTATCTCTGCATAAGTTAGCAATCTTTCAAGATATACCTAAAAAGACATATGAAAGTATGAGTTCATGCATTTCTCTAGCTGAACAGAAATAAGAGGAGGAGGAAACACAATTACACTCTCTTACCTGAGTGATCTTTAAATGGAAAATTGTTTCCAATTGTACAACCAGATAAATAATAGGTCACAGTTAATTAACAACATTCACTTAAATTCAACTGTATAGCTTTTACTGCAGATTTTTTTGTAAATATTGCATCTTGGTGCAATAAACAATGTTTAAGAATAACCAGCATGATAATCATTTTAAAAGCTTTTCTAACACGAGTTTACCATGGATCACATTCTGAAGCAGGCTTGATTATTAGCTGATCTGCAAATTCCTATACTGAAAGCATCTGAAAATCAGCAAAGATGTTAATGTAATCAACATTAAAGAGTAGAAGGCAATATGAGGTGGAATGGAGAAATCTAACAATGCAATTTAAAAAGGCAGCTGAATTACAACATAAGGACAGCGATCGTGTTATGCACAAAATAGACAAGGTTTTGTGCCATGATGATGTAGCTCTGCTTTCACCAATCTTCTTCTCTTTGCCTCTCCACAGATAATGTTGTTTTACCACTGGCATTCCCTACAGCTGAATGCTTTTTAAGCTGACAACAACAAGAATCTTATATACACAAAAAGGGCACACAGATTCCCACAATGGAAGAGCAGATGGAAAGGTGATGGAGTTAGCAAAGATGGCAAAATTGACTTGTTTTAATTAAAGAAAATAATTTATCTATTTTTGTTTCTACGTGGAAATCACTGCTGAACCTTTTGCTCAAAACTGGAAAAAAAATGAAACTGAGTTTAGGTTTCAATGATTAGAATAGTTTTATTATTATAGAAATGGCTTGAAATGTTATGAAATGTAAAGCAAAAGGCTGAGGTTGTATTATTTTTTATACTCTACTGCAGTGATGAATGTCAGGAGTTATTAATTTTCTTTTTTTGGCATTATTTTCTTTCTTGTTTTTCTAACTTTTGTTTCCTATTTTTATCATATAATGAAACTTAACATAAATGTATTATTACAAAAGAAATAATTATATTGCTAAGCAAGCAATCTATAAAGCTACTTGCTTAAATAAAAAATTGTACTGATATTACATTAGCACCAACAAAAATGAATTTTGATCTCTGGCTATGTGCTGGATTAATAATAGCAGTCACCTAGGGAAGAGTATTAAGAGTATTAAGATTTACTTTTATTATTAAGAATATTAAGATTTACCTTATTTATTATTAGGTTTGATTAATCTTTGTTTCTTCAGATGATCTAGATCAGGGGTCTCCAACCTTAGCAATTTTAAGTCTTGTAGACTTCAACTCCCAGAATTCATCAACCAGACAGGCTGACTGAGGAATTCTGGGAGTTGAAGTTCAGAAGTCTTAAAGTTGCTAAGGTTGGAGATGCTTGATCTAGATATATGGCTATTAGAGTGTGCAATATGCCTACAAATTCTGCTAACTTGAATTTACTAGCAGAAAATATCTAGACAATATGAAATCTGAAAGAGAACAGGAAAATCTTTAGTGACGGTAGAAGAATGATACTCTGTTTCAAAATTGAAACAGATCAATTTTTGGTAGTATCTAGAACAAACCTAGGAGAACATAATTACTGAAGAAAATTAGCAAAAAGGAGAGTAAATCTAAAATGACTGTCAGAAGAAAACAGACTTTCTTAGGGGTAAAAAATAGACTTTCTTAGGGGTAAAAAGCAAAGAGCCAATTTTATCGAATGTAAGTTTGTTGGTTAGGTTATATTGGAGGGAAAATTTTGTGTTTATTATGGACGAATGGTTATTTAAAAGAAAAATACACCTCAGCGAGGTGAAGATGGATAAATTATATGTAGAGTAAATATGGGTTATGATATGGGTTTAAAATGCATTATGCAGATTATGAATTATTTATAGCTTTTAATTTGGAAATGCTTATATTGTTAATTTTTTTTTGTATTTGAGTTAAAGTATATTATCGATTTTATTATTTGTATAAATTGGATAAGTTTATTTAGAATTTGTTTTTTTATCTGTAACCCTGTAACCAGCCCTGGGAAGTGAGAGGGGGAGGGAGGGAGGTAGGGAGGGGGTTATTTTAGGGGGGGATATTGTTTAAAACTTGTATAAAACTTTTCAATAAAAAAAAGAAAATGAACAAACCCTATATGAAAATTATAATAGAAGATAGATTTACCTCCATATATAATGAATAGAAAGTGGCAGTTTTGAATAGCTATACAAAATTTACATATATTATGTTTAATTATGGCTGCCTTTTTCTTGTAGCATTAAAACTAAGTTTAATTACAAGAATTTAATGAAAAGCATGGATAGCAACTCATCAACCCACTGTCCTTTTTCTAAATCTTTTTTTTGCTATATTTTCAGCAAAGTATAAGCTCACTGACCACTAATGCTATAACAAATTCTGCTGGTTTTAACAAGATTGTGCAAAGGCAGTTCTGAATTGCAGAAAATGTTCAAAATACCATTTTAACTTCATTAGCCAGAATGGGATAAACATCTAATTCATTTTAATAATTAAATCAAAAGCTTCCATCAATTTCTTCTTACTTACCCTGAACCTAAAGCAAGTCAGAACAATCTTCACCAATTGGAATAAACAAAGAAAAAATACATGAGAAATCTGATGCCTTAATTTAGAAAGCCACCTTTTAAAAATATTCTGATTTAATGCTAATTTTGTAATAAGTAGGGGAATATGTGCATGTTAAACAATTCCAAATAACTTACAAACACAGCAACAGACAGCAGGGTTTAAATATCTAATAGTGGAAACTTATTCTGAACTGACAAGAGCCAAACAATCTCTTACTGCATGGATTACCTACACACAATCAGATATACACATTTCTTTTTCTCTCCATTTAAAACTTCCGATGGAAGGGAATAGCTTGAAGAAGAATGGAAAACAGCTTTGCTTCAGCAAATTCAGTTATTTCGTAAACATTATCTTCAATGGTACTTTTTGGAGCCAATGCTACAAAACTATTTTGGTCACAGTGGGGTATGACTGAAAACTTCTATCCTAGATTCAATTTTTTAAACATCAGACTCTTATATGGGCCAGTTTATTTCAGCAGTTCTTCAAATAAATATCAGTTATTATTAATGCCCTCGACAGTTGTCCAAGACTGTTTGCTTGAAGCCATGCTGATGGATAAGCAAGTTCAGAAATATAAAATGTTTCAACCTATAACATCAACCTATAGAATCCTGCATTTAAGGGGGCTAGCAATATCTTATATAGCAAGGAAAAATAGGGAGAAAAGACAAAGGCAAAACGTACTTCAGGAAGAGATTAAAAAATTTGAATCCAAACTACAAAAAGAGCCCCAGGATGAATCGATTAAAGTGGGAATGGCATTAGCCAAACATAAATTAAATGTGATGGAGCAAGAAGAAAGAGTTAAAGAATTGAAATTGGCGAAACAAAATTTTTTTGAACATGCAAATAAACCTGGGAGATGGCTCTCTTATAAATTAAAAAAAGAGAAAGAGGGAAAAATAATTCAGGAACTTTATGATAGAAATGGAGAGTTACAATATAAAATGGATAAAAAGAAAGAAATAATTCAAACCTACTTTGAGTTATTATATAAAAAAGATGAAATAGACGGGGAAAAGATTAAACAATATTTGAAAGTTAATGGTCTGCCAGAATTAAAAGAAGGTCAAAGAGACGTACTGAATGGGAAAATAAAAGCTATGGAATTAAAAAGGGCGGTGCAAAACCCAAAAAATAATAAGACCCCAGGACCGGATGGCCTTCCAGGGGAGCTATATAAAACCTTCCACAAAGATTTTGAAAAGATATTACTAGAGGTGTATAATGATGTGTTGGAGAAATCTAATCTACCAGCCTCCTGGATAGATGCCATCATAACTCTTATCCCAAAAGAAGGCACAGACCCCAAACAGATTAAAAACTACAGGCCAATCTCGCTGCTAAATACGGATTACAAAATTTTTACTAATATAATGGCTGAAAGATTAAAATTAATTTTACAAAATATAATACATCCAGACCAAAATGGTTTTTTACCTCAAAGACAAATCAGAAACAGTATTAGAATGGTGTTAAATGTCCTAGAGTAATACGAAATACATTTAGGAAACAGGCAGCTTTGATTTTTTTAGATGCGCAGAAAGCATTTGATAGCCTCAATTGGCAATTTATGTTTCAACAGATTGAGGATATGAAATTTGGTGAGAAATTTAGTAACATAATAAAGGCAATATATAGAACACAGAGAGCTAGTGTGATAGTCAATGGAGAGAATACAAAAAGTTTTGAAATAAACAAAGGGGTAAGACAGAGATGCCCAATTTCACCTTTACTTTTTATTTTGACACTTGAAGTATTATTAGTTCAAATTAGAGCAAATAAAGAAATAAAAGGGGTACAGGTCAAAGCAGAGGAATATAAGTTACAGGCATTCGCTGATGACCTGGTTTTCTTTATTGAGGAACCTATAGAGAGAGGAAATATTCTTATGGGTGAAATAGAAAAATTTGGAATAGTGGCAGGATTAAAAATTAACAGAGAAAAGACTAAAATGTTAGCAAAAAATTTAACCGATAAACAAAAAAGGAAATTGGAAGAGAATTTGGGATTACAAGTAATGAAAAAGATTAAATATTTAGGAATTTGGATAACTTCAAGGTGTTCCTCAATAAAAGAAGACAATTATACAAAATTGATATTAAAAATAAAACAAGATCTTGTGACTTGGGGGAATCTCCAATTATCATTATTAGGCAGAATCGCATTGACTAAAATGAATATTCTTTCAAGATTGTATTTATTTCAAACAATTCCAATAAAATTAGAGAATTTTTTTTTAAAGAATTGGATAAAATAATAAATAAATTTATTTGGGCGGGCAAAAAAGCTAGGATAAATATTAAAACATTACAAGACAGTAAGAGTAGAGGTGGTCTTGGACTCCCTAAATGGGAAATCTATTATTATGCGGCAGGATTATTATGGATTAAAGACTGGATAAACTTGGATAATGAAAGGTTACTAATGATAGAAGGACATGATCTACAGGCGGGTTGGCATGCATTTCTATGGGGGAAACAGAAGAAAACATCAACATATTTCCAGCAACATCAGATAAGAGGAGCATTGATCGGGATATGGGAAAAAATAAAAAAAAGACACTATGGGAAAATTCCAAATTGGTTCTCGCCGATGGAGGCAATGATCCATCCCAATACATTAGAGAAAAAAAAAGATGATTAGATATAAAGAATTACTGGATAACCGACGAAATCTCAAGTCAAGAGAAGAGTTGGAGGAACAAAGAATAGCATAGATTGGTGGCCGTATTTACAAATTCAATCTAGATATAATAGGGATAGGCAAGAACATGGAATTAGTCAGACCCCACACCAACTTGATAAAATTCTAATGTAAGGAAGGAAAACTATTATCAAAAATTTATAAATACCTATTAGAGATAGAGTTAAAAGAAGAAATAATGAAGGGGCCAATGATAGCGTGGGCACGAAATGTGGGGCAAAATATAAATTTAGAGGAATGGGAAAGATTATGGAACATAAATTGCAAATTGATGCTATCAACTGCATAAAGAGAGAATCAATATAAAATGATTTACAGATGGCATTTAACACCGGCGAGATTGGCTAAAATGTATAAAAATGTAGACCCGAAGTGTTGGAAATGTAAAATCAGAGAAGGAACATTTTATCACATGTAGTGGCTGTGCCCCAAAGCAAAAAATTATTGGGAACGAATAAGAGATTGGATACAGGAGATAACGGAGATACAAATGGATTTTAAACCAGAATTATTTCTTTTGGGCATAATAAATTTAAAGATGGAAAAACAACTCTAACATATCATTATATACATATTGACTGCAGCTCGTATAGCATATGCTCAATATTGGAAGAGTGAAAATATTTCCACAAATGATATGATTATGTACAAAATCTTGGAATGCGCAGAAATGAATAAACTTACGTTAGAATTAAAAGACAAGGAGGCGACAGAATTTTATGAAATTTGGAATAAATGTTATAATTGGCTAGAACAGAGAAAGGAAAAGACATAATTATTGATGTACATAAAATGTAAAGAAGATGTAAAGAATGCTTAAAATGTATAGTACTGTTCTGTTAAAAGAAAAGATTTATGTTTATGTATTTTAAGTTTGTTTGGGTGTATGGTGTATGGTGAAAAATAAAACAAAAATTAAAAAAAGAATCCCACTCCCATTTGTAGAATATTAATCAAAAGGCAGGGCAGCTAGTAACAATCTCTTTGCAGAATCAAAAGATAATCTAAGCCAGAGTGCTTTTAAATAAATAAATAAATAAATTCTATGTGCAATGATGGTTATAATTCTCTTGGGGAAAAATGGCTTTTTTACAGCCTCTGCCACACAGGGAGTTCTTATCTTTTAAGGCCAGTATTTCACCATTGAATCATGGTCCTTAACAAAAATCAAGGCTGAGGGAAAAGAATAAAGTAAAATCTACTTTTTTTTAACAGTAGCAACAGTTCTGTGTGAAAGTTCCCTAACCCAAAATAAATCTTGTACTTTCTATCTTTTCCCCCTATAGTTCAAGTTCCTTTTTTATTTTAATTAACTTTTGGTCAAATAGAAGATGGTAAAAACAATATCATTTCATCCCCCATTCATTTATTCTTCCAATACCCCTGTAATAAGATTAGGGTTAGAATTTTAGTTATTTGTAATTGCTATATGACACATCTATATGCAATATTCTATATTGTAGCTTGAGATTACAATATTTAGTACATCATAGTCTATGACATGAATTAATATCATAAAACAAACTTCAAAAACAAGATGAAAATCAAATCAAATATTATATAAAATTGTGACTTGCCCAGAATCCCTCCATGAGAGAGATGGGTGGTTTCTAAATTTGAAAATAGATAATAAATAAAAGAAATATAAATCACAACATCAAGATAAAATTTAGATAACTGTCTGAAACAGCTTCTATGGAAAGAAGGTTAAAGGTTAAAGAATGCATAATATAAATATGTACTAAAGAGCACATGAATTACTGTGGTCAGATTAGACCTCCCGAAAAAGGGGCATCATTCACAAATTAGGAATATATGATTTAAAGCTTACTACTACACAGCTCTCAAAACAAAGTAAAGTCAAAGTAGGCACTTGTTCATTCATGGGAAGAAATGCCAAACTCTGGAGTAGCAAAAGCCCCTACTGGTTGGCCACAATCTTCCCAGACCATCAACCCTTTTGACTTCTCAGGATTAAGTTCTAGTATTGCAATTTTGTCCAAGCAAGAATCAATTTCAAAGCTTGGCACCTTTGATGATGGTGGAAAAGAGAAATAGAATGGAGGGGCATCTAGTTTCATAGTTTCTGACAAACACTCCCAGTTAAATAAAATAAAAGGGAAGCCTTAATGTAGGAATAGAATCATGGCAAGATACTGTCTCCCAGTTTAATTCTATAACATGATCCAGAAGTCTAGTATGATTGATGTTATCCAAAATTGCTATGATATCACCAAGCAAAAGCAAGCATTTCCTATTCACCCTTCTTAATAGTTTTTCTACCAGAACAATAAATGTGGTCTTCACGTTATAATCCAGCCCCAGACTAGATCAAAATTGATCTAGAAAATCAATGCTTAGATTTGTTATTTTAATTAAAGGGAGCTCTCTGTTAAATGTTGGCAAAAGCCCAAAGGCGACATAATGCTTGTCACAGAGTTTGAAAGCACACCTGTTTTTTTCTTTTTTTAACTAAATAGAAGACATGAAGATACAGGCTGTAAGCTAGATTGGAGCCATTGATTTAACCTTTTGCGACCCCAATTATCTCAACAAAAATGAAGTCCCCTCATAAATAGTAACTGCAAGTGTGGGAAGGGATGTAGCAGATTCAGTTTCAATGATTTAACATTCCTTTTTCTCATGTACTATCATTCCAATGTGCTCTCTTTTTTCCTAGCTCTTTATTTAAAGAAGTGCTATAAGGATGAAATATACCTCCAAATGAAAAGCTTACCAATTACTGAGCTTGTAAGTTATTTTGGAAATAATTTATATAAATCATATAACATATTTACCAAACTTCCTTAAAAATAAAGTTATTATTTAACTTGAAAACCTTCAAAATCAATCATTTCTCCAGATAGCATCATTACCATCATTTGGGAAAAAAAGGAAAGGAAAGGATCATTTAAATACTACATTTTATGAAGGGAAAAATATGAAATTTAAGAATTGAACTACAATGCTATATTACAAAATCAAATAAGTTCAAATATCATTATTACAGTCTTTGACAAGCCTTTATAATAAAAAACAAAACAAAAATAGTTTAATGCAACAATGAATTATCAAGGAAAAAACAATAAAGGCAGTAAAATAAAATAACATATATAATTACAAATTTTGCACAACTGTATGACTTAATTATATTAAGATAATTGGCCACTTGGTATATGAGAATAAAGCTAGAATCCCTTAAAAATGAGTAAACATAAAATTTATCAGTATGACCCTCAGTCTTAGAGATTAATTGAGAAGATCAGGACAAATATTGCATACATACATACATACATACATACATACATATATACATACATACATACATATCACAATAAGACAGCTTGAAATAAGGCAGGTGAGCCTCAGAAAGATTGCTGAAAATTTTTAGTCTGCAGTAGATAGTAGAAAAGAACTGTTGAATCTACCCACCAAAGCCCCTCTGAGGTAGACAGTTTTAAAAATTAAAAGACAAGAAAAATAGTAAGCAAATGTTAAATATATTCAAAATATATGAAAGCTAAATGTATCTGTAAGTATTTATATGTATCTTGTCTTTCCTCTTTTATACATAAAGTCATAGGTAGGTGAATCTGATATGTGATCTTAACTCCAAATACAAATCTTAAACTGATGATCTAAAATTAATTGTATTTTAAGGACCAATCATGATCTTTTGTATACTCACCAGGGTGACAATTGCACATTCAGCAGTTAGTTGAGCAGCACTGAACAATGTGCGAACAAAGCGATAAATTTGCTTCTGTTCAGGTCCATGTTTGTCATAATCTGGTGGCACTTCAGATTTCTGGGGAAGCAATATTATTAAAAATGAGAATATGTTACACATAATTTGGGAAGAAGCGGCAGATGTAAAGGGCGGAGAAGTAGCAGAATCCATATCATGAATTCCAAACTTTCATTAGTGTCCTTATGTAACTGAGCTTTACCGAAAGGGGGTGGAGATTTTCATCAAAAATATCTAGGAGCATAGTTCCATTTACGTCCCTAGAAAGGGGGAAAAAAAGAAGAGAATCAATAGTAATGTTACTGAACAAACAGAAATGGATAGAAACACTTATTAAAGGTTTACAAAAATGGCTAATCTAGGACATAGTCCCATCCTGTGGCATGTAAAAAGGAGCCACACTAACAGGATCTACCATCTTGGTAGGGGAGTAATGACTATACTGAAAACTAGATTGTCTATATTTGTCCTTTTTCTGCCATGCCAGAAAAAAATGAATCAGCCCTTACTCATATACCAAACTATTTAGACTTGAAGGACATATAGAGCTACACTCTCCAGATGTGACAGCCACAGTCAAGCAAAGAAGTATGGCACTTAGTTAAGCTCACTCTACACAAAATATGAAAAAGAGTGAAATCTCTTAATTCCAAAAATGAAAGTTGTTTTGAATTTATAATATAAAATTAACAAGATTAATCCTTGATGGTATGAAAAAGTGAGTCTCAATGCCATCTTACTGACCGGATAGACAACACAGTACAGCTTTTCCTTTCTTTCAACTCAATGGTATTTTTTTTAGATTGGTCTATACCCCTTTTTGGGAATCCAAAGCCATTTTTAACCCATCCCTAGGAACCTAAACTAGCTTGGACCCATCACTGAATGTATCATTTTACTTTACTTACATATAGCTCCCCTATCAACTAGGGGATGGGAGGGATGAAGGATAGGAACAAGAATGCACTTTAAAGAATAATTTATCAAAAACAAACCTAGCTTTTAAACTTTCTGCCATCCATTGCTTTCATTAGATACCAATGTAAATAGTATCACTAAAATATAATTATTGGGGTCAGTTGTCGCAAAACAGTGATTTGTTCCATCACACAAAATAATTGCTTAGCAGCAATGGTTGCCTTCATAGACTGCTGGTGAACTTTTAATAGACATGTGGCTGATGATTCCAGAGAAAGAATATAAATTAAGACTTTTGGTTGAACTTAGATGGATCTATCTTAATTGGCTAGATGTTTACTGATTAGGGAATGTTACAATACTTTCAAGATAACAGTAGAGGGCACATGCACATCATGCTGGGACACCAATAATTAGATTCAGAAAACAGCAGCTATTTTTTTTAAAAAAATACTAGTCTTCTTTGTTGACTACTTATGTCCAGCTTTTCTTCTGAGTCCTCAAAATTAGGGTCTTTAGGTAGCATTTTCCGTCCTACATAACGCAGTAAATGGGGCAGAAGAATCTTGAAAGGACGGGAAGATTCTAGGCAGTGTAACTGTATCTTCTGTTCACACTCCATGAATGCTAGTTCAGTAACATTATGTTCCATTTAAAGATGGGCTTCAAATGAATTTAAAAAGGTACTCCTTTGAAATGAGCTAAGTGATGATCACCTGGAGAGATCAATATAATTTCATGACAGAAGGATAGAAATGGCTTGGGGAACCAAAGGATTTTAGTGTTCTATATTTTCCCATGGCTGCCAGTTATAGCTGTGGTGACTATGAGCATCAATGTGTCTACAAACAACATCTATGCTACCCATTAGGCTCCACAATGTATTTGATTTTTTTAATAAATTAAATGGATAGTTGTACTCTACAGGTTTGGTTGAAAATGTGGTCATCTGACCAAGACAAACAACAAAAGAAACAGGACGTGTTCCAGCAGGAGCCATCCCAATGGACTAGAAGGGGTAACCTCGAGCAATTTGTTTTTTGCTCAGTTGATGTTTGGTGGACTCTGCCACCAATGCAACAATTAATTATCAGGTAAAAAATAGTAAAGGCATTAAAATAAAATTACATATCTAATTAAAAGCTTTGTACAACTGTATGTGCATGTGTCAACATTCCAAATCTGATCACCAGTACCCAAACATTGGAAAGATCTATGCATCTTAGACTTACTACATGAATGGCAATAAGGGATAAGAATGTTGGTTTTGAGTTATATCCATGTAACTTACTGCTTAGAGTCTTGACTATATCTCCTTTACACCTCTGTATTCTATATACTGATTTTGTTAAGATTCTTTAAAATAAAAGACACAATAAGAACTATGCAAGGAAGCATGAAGGTTATTAAAGTTTATTTTTTAAAAAATATATTTTATATCAACTTTGAGTTTTAATATAGATCAACTATACTTTAAGGTCTTCATCCACGAGGCCATTAGAACAGTTTCTTTAGTTTCTTCTGGGATTTGGGATTATGGAAGCAAATGGGCATGATCCATTATGTGGGTCTTTCTTCATCACTGACTATCACTTGTCACCCAGAACACCCTTGTGTGGAAAGGGTATGTACTCTTTGAGTTCTGATTACAACATATTCAAGGCAACATATGTAATAACACTGAATATTCATCAAGTAGCCCTGCTTTGCAAACTATCTTATAAGGCAGTGAAATTAAAAAATAGAGAAAAAAACAACAAATTAGTATTTGAACCATTTTCAAATTCATGCTTACCTGTTTTTGATATGGTAGTATATTGCAAGAGCTACACTGTAAAAGAAAATGCAGAGTTAGTGTCTTAATACATATTGAACATAATGAATCTTAGTATTAAGCTTTATGACTAAGTCATATTTCTGAGGGGCAAATTCAACCAATTTTCTTACCAAAAGAGAGAATGAGGATCAACAACAGAAAATAATAATCTGTAACAATCTGTACTGAATGCATTCAGCTATACAGGACAAGATCAAGGCATTTTATTGCCTGAAAACAAGAATAATTATTCCATCCAATCATTTGTCTTAAGATAGGTGGCTATATAAATTAGATTAAATAAACAAAAAAAATCTTTACAATGGATATTTCTTTTCGTCATTCCATAGATAGATGACTGAACTAACAACTGTATCTTAGTTTGATGTTGATAATAGTACAATATATACACCATAGGGAGCAAGGAAGTTAAGTAGCTGACTTTATGAGCTGTTGTGCTGATAAAACAGAGATGGTTGACATTGTTGAGCACTAGTGATCATTGCCTAAGATAATCCTCCTTTGGGGCTGGTCCTGCCCCTACATATAAATAGCCTTTTCAGACTATTATTACAACTATTACAACTATAAAAATTCAGGCTATTATTATATTATTATATCTATAAAAATTCAGGCCAATCATATCTATAAAAAAGTAGAGTTTTAAAGGAAGAACTCAAAGGAGAGAAGGATATTGAGACCATCAAAAATGTAAGAACTTTTGAGGAGCATCACTGTGGCAAAACAGTTGCCACATTTATCTATAGCTCTGCAACTTAAATGCAGTTGAATAGATTATAAAAACTAACAGAGTAGGTTTAGATGAAGCAAAAAGGACCCAAAAGAAACAAAGTGGAGCAATAGTAGATTGTTTTGCAGGAAACTAAAGAAGTAGGAATGACAAAACAGCAAGTTCTGAAAGTGAGGAAGCTCTAAAATTAAAGGACTCAATAGATATAAGAATAAATTCTGAATGGATGAAAGAGATAAGGCAACAAGGATATGAAATAAGGGACTTTGTTTAATAAAGTCCACTGGGTGTCAGAACAGTGAGAATGGCAAGTCAATACAGTCACAGAAATATACCAGGAAAGATATTAATATTTTGAGAAAAAGTATATGTCTACATAAATAGTGTGGTGAAAATTGACAATTTGAATAATCAAAGAGATTTTCATTATGTCTATTTGCTACAGTGCCTTATCAATTAGGTGTCTAGATTTTTTTTAGATTTCTAATATCCAACTAATAAATAACCATAAAAGAATGATTGTAGAGGTTTTTTCAGAAGAAAATCATAGACAGACTTGAACACTGGGCGCTATGTAACAAAATGAAATTCAATGGTGAAAAAAGTATATTTAGGCAAGAAAAACCAAATGCACAGGTATAGTATAGGGAGTATCTTTCTCAATAGTAGTAACTGTGAGAGGGATCTCGGAGTCCTAGTGGACAATCATTTAAATATGAGCCAGCAGTGTGCTGCAGCTGCAAAAAAAGCCAACACAGTGCTAGGCTGCATTAACAGAGGGATAGAATCAAGATCACGTGAAGTATTAATACCACTGTACAATGCCTTGATAAGGCCACACTTGGAATACTGCATCCAGTTTTGATCACCACGATATAAAAAAGATGTTGAGACTCTAGAAAGAGTACAGAGAAGAGCATCAAAGATGATTAGGGAACTGGAGGCTAAAACATATAAGGAACGGTTGCTGAAATTGGGTATGTCTAGTTTAACAAAGAGAAGGACGAGGGGGGACATGATAGCAGTGTTCCAATATCTCAGGGGCTGCCACAAAGAAGAGGGAGTCAAGCTATTTTCCAAAGCGCCTGAAGGCAGGACAAGAAGCAACGGGTGGAAACTAATCAAGGAGAGAAGCAACCTAGAACTAAGGAGAAACTTCCTGACAATTAGAACAATTAACCAGTGGAACAACCTGCCTCCAGAAGCGGTGAATGCTCCAACACTGGAAGTTTTTAAGAACAAACTGGACAGCCATTTGTCCGAAATGGTATAGGGTTTCCTGCCTGAGCAGGGGGTTGGACTAGATGACCTCCAAGGTGCCTTCCAACTTCTTCTTCATCATCATCATTATTATATTATTCATAATCATAATCATAATTCTATGACATATAAATAAAGAGAGAAGCATATTCCAATTATATACTAATTTATCTTTCATGGGATTTCAAAAATCACTGGCAGAAATATTTGTGGCCCTTCTGAAAATTCATACCATTTTTTTTAAAGCAGTATGTTAAAATTTGAATGTTAGGAAAACTGTGAGACACAATTGTGCAAAATAAAAATATATAGAGAATTTTAATCTGATTTTGCAGTTTTTGCCTGGAATACATCTGCGTTCACATAAAAATTGAAACTCTGAGCCAATTATCAAAGCATTGACTGCTGTTGGTGATATTTGTGCCACACACAAGCACAACTAAAAGCGATGAGAACTACTCCTTGGTGGTACATTTGTATCTATCAAGGCAGTCATAATAATCAAAAGCTGCAGTATAAAAAGAAATGGTTATCATAACAACCAAGCAGTTCCAAAAGTATCTCAGCATTTGAAAATTAAAAAAAAAAAGACAAAAATGCATCAGAACAAACTCAAAAGTAGAATCTTAGATTAATTCAAGGACACAAAATTGTTTTGGGATTGTTAACTAAAAACAAAAATATATTTGCAGCTGTGGCATTAACAAACAGGAAGGAAGGCAAGAAGAAAATATGTTTGAACTCATTAACAGACCTCCAAATACTGTCTCCCTAAGAAAATTGCCAATTTTAAACTTATGTATTTTAAAAATTCAACTGCAATCTTAGCACAATAGACAAACTTTCAAGAAGAAGCATGTGTTTCAGAGCTTCTCTAATTTAAACTATAAGGATTTGTATGGCAACACATTTAGTGCCCTCTATATCCTTACTTATATTTGAAACTGAAGGAAAAGTGAGAAAAATGTGGTTTTATTACTTTTTCCCCAATCCTAATCACTCCACTCTTTTCCACTACATCAGATCTGTAGAGAAACCTCAGAGTATTTCTGCAACCATTTACAAGTAATCCTTGATTAACAATGCTAACTGGGACCAGAATTTCCATGATTAAGCAATATTGTTATAACGCGTGATGTCATGTGACCACGCTTTATAACGATAAAGGCTGGCAATCCCCACTTTGGTCCTTAAGTAAATCCCACCCAGTGGGATTGGTGTGAGGATCCACCCCAACCCATGCCATTTCTGGCTTGGTTTCTCCCAACCCCAGTTTTGGTAAGGGAAGGGAAGCCTCCTCTTCAACTCCCCCATCTAATTACCTCCCTGCTATCTCTGCTCTTTTGGCATGCCTGTACTTCACTAATCCTGTTGCCCTGCACTTTCTTCCCCCACTACTGACAATGTCCCCGACTTTTCACAAGGCAGATCCTGGTCGTGTCAGACCTTCTTCCAGAAGCCATGAGCACCCTTGTTCAAGGAAGACAGAGAAGTCATAGAGTTTAGGATGGCCAAAGGGCAGAGACGAGGGGGGGGGGAGAGGAACAGGAAGAGTTAAAGTGTCCCTGCAGTTGTAAGTGTAGGTAAATTACCAAGCACCTGAATTTTGATCACATGACTATGGGCATGCTGCCATGGCTATAACTCCATGGGCTTTGTTATAATTTGGCATTGTCATAACTTCATACGATCACTGAAAAAATGATCATTAAGCAAGGACAATCCATATTAGGAGTTCTATTTTCTATTTGTTGGAAACAATATTCAGAAACAATGCAAAACAATGTATGTATGTATATGCATATCTCTTTATGTATATATACAATGGAATGCTGCTATACTTACCATTTAATTGTATACTTGAGGTTCGGCTGACTGACTGTGCTGTCATCCAGAAAAATGGTGGAACAGGAACTGTATTTCCTTCTCAATTGACCAGGAGGATGCTAGAAAAAAAAAAGAAAGCATACAAAAAACCAGTATCAGTCACATAATGCCAACATTATTTATTCCTAAAAAACAGTAATTCAATAAATAGCTTTTCTTGATCTCTAGCAGATGCATAAATACATTCAAGTCAACATAACCTGGCAAAAATCAGAGAGAATTACACAGTAGTTACTCTTTCTTTGCACTTTGTTCAAATGAAAAGATTATTTGCAATATATCAGTTTATTCTTCAAAGTGAAATAGTTGGGTAGAGCCCCTATATATGAATGAAACAAGATGTACATTCTTACATAATGGAGGGTTCATAATGGAGGATAAAACAGAAAATATACTGTATGCTTGCATATGGCTGATGAGAATCTGGAATTAATGCTTTTTAATTTAACAGCACAACACAGGCTTCTGCCATCAGATTAAAGAAAGGGAGATATGAAACCATCATACTTTTTTCTCACCAACATGATGCTAGCTTAACAGGGTTCATCTTTGTATATCCTATATTCAGAAGGTGAAAAAATATCATAGAAATATTCTGAACAAGATTTTAATCTGGCGCTTTTTTGGGGGGGCTTACTTAAGTTATAATGACAAAAGATAGGAACAAGAACTTAGATTCATACAACACTAGTGTAATTTGAGGCTTAGCATATTGTGTGTGAATTGAGTCATTGTGGTCTATAAACTATGACTTAATGACTTATCAGGTTGTGCAATCTGAATCAATTCTGGCTTACCCAATAAGACATGCTTATGTCACCTTTACTGTGATGTGCCATCTTAATCATTACATGAATTTGGGCCCATTACATGTCCTAGGGCCCAACATTCTACTCTGCCAATCATAGGGAAGTTATTTTACTTCAATCCTGCCTAAGACAGGCATTCTCTAACCGTAATTCACAACCTGCTGCTGTTCACCTTTTGCCTGGAAACCTTCAGTGATGGAACTTCTATGACTCTAGGGTTAATAACTTCCAGGTCCAGTAAATTCCTCTTTATTTCATGTTTAGATCTTTCTAAACTGCTGGCTCATGCTTAATTTGCACAATACATCTGGGGGCCATGAGACTGGGGAAAGATGGCATGACTTATAACGATTTAGAAGACGGCTATGGGTACACCTTCCTGCAGACACATTATGCAAAGACCTAATTGTCTAGAGAAGGCTCTGAGCTTGGAAAAGATGTAGGAAGGAGAAGAAGAGGAAGAACAGCAGCAAGTTGACAAAGACTTGATGGCACATAATCTATATATCAATCAGCAAGAATTAGGTATGTCTAGTTTAATGAAAGAAGGACTAGATGTGATATGATAGCAATCTTCCAATATATAAGGGGGCTGCCACAAAGAACAGGAGGTCAACATATTCTCTAAAGCATCCAAACAAGAAGCAATGAAGGGAAATTAATCAAGGACAGAACCAACTTAGAATTAAGGAGAAATTTCCTGATAGAAAATTAATCCACAGAGCGACTTGCTTCCAGAAGTTGTGGGTGCTCCATCACTGGAGGTTTTCAAGAAGAGATTGGACAACGATTTGTTTGAAATTGTAGAGTTTCCTGTTTGATCAGAGGTTGGACTAGAAGATCTCCAAGATCCCTTCCAACTCTGTTATTCTGTTCTGTTAAACCAGCGGCAAATTGTAGGGTTCTTTTTCCAAAAAACAACTGGACTTCCCTGTTTTTTTTTTCTTTGAAAACATTTTGCTTTTTATTCAGAAACATATTTAGTTCTCTTGGACGATAAGCAAAATGTTTTCAAAGAAAAAAAACCAAGAAAGTCCCATTGCTTTTTGGAAAAAGCACCTTTGGGACTACCATGACCTGGATGATTGAGAATCTCCGTAGACACCCAGCTGCAAGCTCTTCTGTTATCAGTGAAAAAAACTGCTTCTAACTGGATTTCAGGAAGTCTCTTAGAAAAAAAATAAATTCTCTTGTGTAATGAATCAGAGGATAAGTTCACTTCACATGGGAAATAGTTCAGCTGTTAGAATGCTGGTAACCTCTTCTCTTTGATCTCAATAAATCTTGCTAAGCAATGTGAGAATGTTACTTCAAAAGAGTATGATAAAAGAAGCTGCCAAAAGACCTACAGTTGTGAATCAAAATTTGGGAAATGGAATCAAGGGAATGGGAAACAATTTCTTGTGGTCTTCAGGAAGAATGTTATATTAGCCTTAGAGTGGTACTTTCTTCTCCCAAGCTTTATATATTTTAACACACTTTGGGGAACACTGGTTTAAAGTAAAATTAAAGCCTGTATAAAATATTTAAAAAATGACATAGTATTCCATCACTAGTAGAACAGGACTCCCCCCCCAATGCACCTATATGGTGCCAAACATTGAGCACCTGTTATGCTTTTCACATTTCCTTTTAAAAGTGCAGGTTGCATTTGAAAGAACAAGAAATAGCAGGATTGGAATCGTACCAGCAGAACCAACTTGCTTTGTCTGCAACAGACTGCTGAAAGGAATGCATCACTGGAAGCTCTTAAGCCATGTGCGGTAGCCCTTGACCAAGTAGATACCAAAAAGGAGCAAATACTTTGTTATTTTCAGCTGAAACTAAAGAGCTTCACTGTAAAACTTAACACAAGTTTAATACTAACAACCCTAAAATCCAAATTCTGTCCATGTAGATGGACCCTGTTCCATCGATTTTGCACCCTGTGGACTGAAAGATGGTACTTATGACATGTAGACACTCAAAGACTATCAATTCTGCCTAAAGTTTGATGGGAAATTATGGATATTAAATTGACTGCAATTTGATTTGATTTCTATCCTGCCTTTCTTCTAGCAGACTGAAGTCTCATACATAGCATGCCCTCTGGTAGTTTTCCTCAGAACAGCAACCTGTGAAGTCACTGAAAGACAGTGGCTGACCCCCAAACCATCTAGTCAGTTTCTAGGGCTGAAGTTGGACTTGAACCTGAGTCTCCCAATTCTGATCCAAAAACTGAGAAAGGATAGGGAAATAATATGAGAAGAGAATCATGCAATGCTTATTTAAAATCAAATTATTTCAGAGACTCTAAATATCAGAATTTTATTACCTTGATCATGTGGGCCAACCAGCTTTGGCCAGCTGTTATGTGTTACCGAAGTTCAATGGTGTTAGCAAAACAAATCTCTCTATCCAATTTTCCTGAGATTGTTTTGGGGATAATCATGCAAACCATTAATTTGGAAGGTCAACATGCACCAGCTTCTTATTAGAAAAGGATCAAGAATGGTTAGCTGCCATGGCAATGAAGGCCAACCCAAGATGATCCAAACCTCAGATTTCATCACCTTGACTATGAGCACACCGACCTTTGGCCAGCTCTTGTGTGCTATTGAAATTCAATGGTATCAGCAAAATAAATGTCCATATCCGATTTTCCTGAGATTGTTTTGGGATGATCACACAAGCCGTTAATTTGGAAGGTCAATATGCAACAGTTCCATAGAAGAAGGATCAAGAATGATTAGCTGCCATGGGAATGAAGGCCTTTATTCAGGGCCATCTCAAGAAGATTCAAATTTCAGGATATTATTACCTTGACCATGCAGCATGGCCAGCTTTAACCAGCTGTTGTCTACTATTCAAGTTCAATGGTGTCAGCAAAACAAATCTTCCTATCCGGTTTTCCTGAGATTGTTTTGGGGGATGATGCATCATGCAAGCTGTTATTTTGGAAGTCAATATACAACATTTCCATATTAGGAGAGGATCATAAATGGTTAGCTCCCATGGCAATGAAGGTCTTACTGAAGCCAACCCAAGAAGAGCCAAACCTCGGGATTTCATTACCTTGACCAAGCGGGGGGGGGACCAGCTTTGGCCAGCTGTTGTGTGCTACTGAAGTTCAATAGTTATCAGCAAAACAAATCTCTCTATCCAATTTTTCTGAGAATGTTTTAGGGATGATGTTAACTTCACATAAGCTGATTATTTGGGAAGGACAATATACAAAATTTCCATATTAGGAGAGGATCAGGAATGGTTAGCTGCCATGGCAATGAAGGCCATACTCAAGGCCAACCCAAGAAAATCTACTGACTACAGAAAGGGAAAGATTCACTATCTCAGATGGAAAGATCTTAGGGACTGAAATAATCTTATTACCATATTGGGGTTTTAATTGACATTTGGAATGTGGAAATGGTCCAGCTATGAACACCATAGGTCCTGAATATTCTCCTATTGATATGGACTTATATTTGTTCCTTTGTGATCTGACAACCAATAGGCAAAAATAAAACACAAAAATCTCCACCAGTAACAGAATACTTATTAAATTTATAATGAACGGCATCTAACAAACAATGACTTAACTGGGGGTGGGGGGGAGAGACAGAACCATGTAATGTTTGAATGTATTTAAAACATGACCTGAAATCTACAGACCATTATAATGAACATATCTATTGGCCCCAAAATTTTGACTCTTTAATTAATGCCTCTTTTTCAGGCATAAAATATTCATAAAAATTATGTTACATTGCAAACACTGCATTTTTGGTTGATATTCTGACTAGTAAGTGTTTTACATCCATATTTATATAACTGACCTAATTTACATAATTGCTTTATATATCATCTGAATAATTATATAAATGATTTATATAACATTGATGATGTAAAAAACCAATTATATAATGACACAAATAACATTAAATTTCAAATCCCTCTGGAAGGAACAAGCTTTAACCACTGCTTGCATATGAAGTTTTAAGTACAATTTAGTTCATTTTTTTCAAATCTACATAATGGAGATTCAGAGATCAGTATGTTTTACTGTATATTTTAAACATGCCACTTAGCTGAATCATTTTTTTCACTTACATGGTTTATGTAGAGGCTCTTCCGTTTTTCTCTCACTGTAAAAACACAAAATGTATGAAAGTTACATAATCTGAGGTAAATTAATTTTTGTTCCAACTATTTTAAAAAAGTTATGACCTTTGTAAAAATTGATAGCCATGAACAGAACCGTTTTCTAACTTTGTGTTTACATTCACTTCTACAGAAAAAAATATAATTGGGGTATATAAATTTTAAAAAGTTATATTAAAATTCTGCTTTATAAAGGAAATAATCTAATTTCATATTGTCATTTAATTTGATTGAAAAATTCAAGAACAAAAATATTTTGATAGACTCAAATAGCACAAAGGCATGAATCATGTTTCAGGCATGACTTAAAATATTTACAGTATATAGAACTTGATCTTGATGTTAAAAAACATTGTCTAATTTCAGGTACAAAATTTAAGTATCAAAACTTTTTAAATGCAAGGCTTTTGATATGAAAATCAAAGCATAAACTCCATCCATAAGCTTAGGCACCTAGCTACAATATTTCATTCATTCATGCTCCTCATCTTTCAACTGATTCATAATTTTGGAATGCTGCCAGGGCATTCAATGGCTAATGGAAGAGGTATCACATTACCCATTTTCTGTTACATATGCAAGACTTTCCTTTGCAACAAAATCCTCAGACAAATCTCACTTCTCATTGCTCACACAGTACACGCTGCCTTTAGAAAACTGTTCTTTCCTGAAAGGTTCGGGCAGTGCCTCTACATGTGTCCAGGTTACAATGGATTGCACATTGAAGAGGCATTCAAAGGTAAAATCAAACAAGATGGAATCATTAATAATTCTGGGAGTTAGACTTCAAGATAAGGAAATATTTCTATTCTTTGTGGAGTTGAACTCCCCAAATTAAAGAGCCTCCTATCTTTGATATTGACACTGGATACCCACATAGTATCTCTGGCAATGTTTCAGTATCAGATAAATCCAATGTGGAAGAGAGAGACCTGGTTTTAATGTGTTATACACTCATAAGCCCAAGGGCAATTCAGCTCCCTTGTCACAGTGTAGTTTTTCTGAATAAAATCCTGAAATCTGGATTACAACGTTGAGGTGAAGATGATATAGTGGGCTCTCCTGGGGATTCTACATTAGTGTGTGTTGAAATATCTTTATTGTTTGCTAGTAAATTTCCAAGACTAAATTAAGTTGTTAACTATGGAACATAAAACTGTTAAAAGAATTGGCAAGAACCAAGCCTTGACACGTAATGTTGACACGTAATACTGGTGAGCCTCTAACCTAGGGGTGTCAAACTTGCAACATCACATGATATGTCGTGACGTATCGTGACTTTTTTCCCATTGCCGACAATGGGGTGGGCGCACTTTCGACATGACACACCTGGCCCGTGGCTAGCAGTTTGACACCCCTGCTCTAACCCAACAATTCTTAACTTCTGAATGTTCCAAATGGCTTGTGTACATGTGAATGCACAGATTACTATCCAAAGTGCTACTGTTCTAGAGAAGTACAAGTAGTCCTCATTTGTAGACCACAATTGGGATCAATAGTTCTGTCATTAAGCAAAGCAGTCGCTAAGAGGGAAATCTTGTGACTGCAACTTTCCTATTCTCCAGTCCCTCACTTTTTGGAATATTCATCCTGTCACTGGAATAACTGCTAGATCACTCAGTTTCACACCTTCAGCTTGTTTCCCTCCTAATTACTCTCCTGCTATTTGGAATGTTCCCTCTGGTACTGGAATAATAAGCAACAAGGAAATTAATTCATTGGAGAGAAAAGGATTACTAGCAGTCATCAGCATGAGCCATAGGCAAATAGCCCAGTGTATTCCCCATTGCATGCCTGATTACTCTTTTATAATCCCTTTCTCTTCAATTTGTTCACTCTGCAGGGATGGAGGAATGGCATAGCATCTCTAAATAAAAGAGATAATCATTTTTCCAGTAGTTCTTCAAGGTTTTGAACCAAAAGTCTTTCTTTGCAATTGTCCCTTAATTCAAATATAAAAATATTGATTTACAGCTTACTATACATGGAGGACATGCTACTTCCCTTGCAAAAACTGTCAATGAAGATTTCCTAATATTAAAAAAATGCTTACATACCTGCAATAAATACTATAATACAAGAACAGCATAATAAAGCAAGCTCTTTGTTGAAACCTTTGCACCCACAACATTTAAACAGAACGTGATATAAAAGAATGTGAAACAATAAATTAACATATAATTTTAATAAAGCATCAATTACTTTATTAAAATTATATGTTAATTAATTTTAATAAAGCATCAATTAGGACTTCCGGTGGTGTCGCGATGTTGATGGCGGCTATTTTTTAGCCGTCCTTCTGAGATAGCGTTAAAACCGCCAAGGACAGCAGATATCAGCTGTTCCGCGGTTTAAAACCTCCTTCCTGGGCTAAAGGAAGGAGGGGAGTTTTACCCTGAATAGTGGTAGAGCCTCTGAAACCCCCAAAAAAGTTTTTTGGGGGGGCAAAAAGAGTGCTCCCATGGAGTTCAGGGAATCTCCGCTTCTCAGCTGTCTTTGTTCCTTGTCGTTCGGGACAAAGCAAGACGCCGCTCCCACCTCTGCGACTAAAGAGAATTGGTGAGTTATTTTAAAAAAAGCGGACAGAGCTGATCGGGGAATTTTATTTTTTGGGATTTATTTGGACTTTAATTTTAAAGAATTATTTTTACTTTCTCCTTTTTTTTGTTGAGAGGGAAAGTAAAATGGCGATATGAGGCTTTTTTTGAGTGCTTGAAAGGAAACGGAACGGATTTTGGTTACTTTGTAACTTTTTCTTTTTTCATTTTTTTGGTTTATTATTATTATGGTTTTTTGAAAGAGACTTGGGTTTAGTTATTTTCCCTCTCTTTTGTTTATTTTTTTTACTTTTGCTTGGGATTTCTTTGAACTTTTTTTTTTTAAAGAAGGAGGAAAAGGAAAAAAATTTTTCCCTTTGTTTAAAATGGCTTCAAAGCGTCAAGTTTCCACAGTACCTAAGGTGGCTTCTTCTCCGGCGATACTACCAGTCCAACAACATCTTCTCCTCCTGTACAACCACTCACAGTAAAAGATTTGCAAGATGTTATGGGAAACATTATATCTCAAATTAGAGGAGAAGTGAAGGAGATTTTAGTGGAGAATAATAATATTTTAGGCGAGATATAGTTCTGGCCCTAAAAGGACTTGCTTCTGTTGTTGAAAAGTTGGATTCTTGTGTTGAAGAAGTAGAAGATAAAGTGGATATATTGGAGGAAAAATTTGAAGGAATGGAAAAAAAGATGGAAATTTCACAAGATGAAATTGTTATGTCCCAATATAGAGAGATGGAGTATGCTTTAAGAATCAGAGGCTTGAGGGAAAATATGCAAGAAAACTTGAGAGAGATGGTGGCAAATGACTTTGCTGTGATTTTGGACAGAGAAAAGGAGGAAATACTTGGAGAAATTGAAAAAATATTTAGAGTTAATTCCTGGGTGGCAAAACAGAGAAATCTGCCAAGAGATGTGGTAATTTATTTTGGGAAAAGATCTTTATGTAATGAAATTATACAAGCTTTTTACAACAAGAGATTTCAGATTGCTGCACAAGATGTAATAATTTTAAAGGAGATCCCATCTAAAATTCTAAGAAGAAGAAAAGAGTTTGCTTTTTTAGTAGATGAACTTAAAAAGAGGCAGATGCCATTCAGATGGGATATTCCGACTGGAATTGTGGTGAGTCATGCAGGGACACGTTATAGACTTAATACTGTTTTTAAAGCAAGAGAGTTTTATACTTCGGTCCTGGGAGCGCGCTCATCACCACCTATAATGTTGAAAGTTTTGGAAGAAAAGGAGGTAGAACAGTAGTCTGAAGAAGCTGTATTGATGAAAGCTGGGAAAATACAGGCTGAGTGGCACCAACAAGCTGAGATGAAGGTGCAGGGAATGACTCGAGCAGTACATAAGCGTAAGGAAAAGGAACAACAGAAGAAGGAGGTTAAAGAAGTTTTACAAGAATTTGTTTCTGAGCCTGTGGGAGGAGCAAGACCTAAGAGATCATCGGTGCAATCCTCGATGGCAGATCTCCAAGTAGTCTTCTCCAGGCTAATAGATGGAGGAGATGGCAAAGCTCCTGACCTGGAATGTTAACAGCCTTAATTCTCCACAGAAAAGGAAGAAAATATTTCATTATCTGAAGCAACATAATAATGATATTATTTGTTTGCAGGAAACCCATATTATTTCTAAAGACCAAAAATATTTAGTTAATGCCCGATTGGGATCTCATTTTGTATCCTTTGCTCCTGGGAAAAAAGGGGGTGTAGTTATTTATGTTAAGCAAAATTTATCAGCTTCTTTACTAGATTCCGATCCTCAAGGGAGATATGTAATGATTGAAGTGGGAATGTATGGTTAAAAAAATACTTATAGTGGGTTTGTATGCTCCAAATCAACAACAAGAACAATTTCACAGGCTTTTACACCAAAAATTGACTTTATTGGATTATAGATCTGTTATACTGATGGGAGATTGGAATGGAGTTTTGGATACACATAGAGATAAAAAAGGACTTTCTACTTCTTTTAAACAGGCTAAATTACCTAAGGCCTTTTTTGATTTGAAAGAGGACTGGGAGTTGCGAGATTACTGGCGAGAACATAATATGGAAGAGAGAGATTTTACCTTTTTTTCTGATAGACATCAATCTTTTTCAAGAATTGATTTTTTTTTATCACAATGGATTTATATTTTAGGGTAAAGAATGTTAAGATTTTTCCAAGGACATTGACAGACCATAGTCCTGTGTGGATGGAGTTAGCCATGGAAAAAGAGGAGAGAAGATCCTGGAGGTTGAACGAGAATTTATTTAGACAAGAAATGAATGTTCAGAAACTTAAAGATTATTTAAAGGAATATTTTATATTAAATATGTATAAGGGAACTCCAATGTCAATGGTATGGGATGCAAGTAAAGCTTATATGTGTGGGGTTCTGATACAAATGAATAAGGTTTATAGGCAAAAACAGTTACAAAAACGTA